ACGCTTCAAAAAGGGAAATTGGGAAAGTCGATCCTCGAATCAAAAAAACCCATACACCAATTTTTAAAAAACTTTAAAAAGGGCGAGAACCTTTTGACGGATTATCCACCGTCCTTTTTATTTAAAAACCGTAAAAACCGGCGTATAACGCGCACCCTTTTTAAAACAAAAAAAAAGATTGAAAATTTTGGGGGGCGCGTTATACGCCGAGTATAAAAAAGAGGAAGGGTTTAAAAAAGGGGAGTATTAAAAAAAAATTTAGACTTACATATCGAAATACTGTTTATTTAAAAGAAGTAACATACCTTATGAACTTTCATTGTTGGATAACATGAAAAGGCCCCCCCTTTTTTTGACCATTTAAGGCGAAAACGTACACTGTTTCTGGTTACAATTAATCCATTCAGGCGATTTTCTAGGACCCAGTTCGCAACACTTTCTTCTAGAATAAGGCCATTTCGTTACTCCTTTACTTAAAGCACATTTTCTTCTTTGGCATGTTAATTATTGTCATTTCTTTTTTTTTCCTTAACTCTCTTATGAAGTTTTGCCAATATCAAACATCCTTCCTGCAGAACGATTTCCATTTCTTTTGCAAATTGAATCACTAGACCTTTAAACCGGCACTGTGTTTTGCTTCGTTTACCGGTACCATTTTACTACTGGGGTTTTTGAAGCGTATTCAATATTATTCATAGTATTGAATATACTACAGAAAACGAGCGTAATAAGTCTCAGGCTTGTTCTAATTTATTTCAAATTAATCGTCCCCTCGTACATCACATAAAAGGGAAAAAGGAATCAATGTTTATAGAAAAGCGTGGGAAAAACCCAAAGCTATGGCGCTGATTCGGTCTCCTCCCCTTCTGCGCTTAAAGGTTGTATAATTCTAAAAAGTATACCATTTTTTCAAAAGAAAGTCTGGAATGATTCGTCCAATGAATAATGACTTCAAAACATAAGAAAATTGCACACGTACCTTTCAAATTTTTTCGTAAAAAAGGGGATGCGCGTTATACGGCGAATATATCTAAAAATTAAAAAATACAGCATGAAAGTATAGGTGCGCGTTATACGCCGGATTTTACGGTAATCCTCTTGGGAAATTTTTGTTCTATCAATTTGAATTTATTCACAACCAAAACTCTGAAAAAGAAACCTTGATTATGTAAATCAGGTTGGCTATATATTGCCTGGGTTTTCAAACTGGAGGGAGAGAAGGTGAGGAGAAAAGGATAGATTGCTAATGATCAGGTACATTTCAATTTTATAGTAAAATTCTGATTTTGGAGAAGTGTAAGAATTATAGTGATGATTGGTCACTACAGTTTAATTAGTAATTGAATAATCTGGAAAGAAGATTTGATCTAAAATTGAATAGGTTGGTATTTAAAGTCTTCGCACACTTATCGTATCTCGCTATTAATACACATATTGCTTAATTTTAGAACATCTCTTCTCTTTGAATTGTGTTGCTAATTGTGTTATCAATAAAAATATTTTTTTTGGATATAAGGCGAGACTTCCTTTCCTTCCTCTTACATCTCTAGGCGAGAACGAGAGATTAACTCATTCTTCACAAACTTCGGTATCTCACACTGTTAAATATCCTTAATTTTTCGTGATTCTGTTGATCGTGTGCTTGATTCATTTTTTAGGAGTTCTGATAAGTCTATTACGCAAGCCAGTAACGACATTCCATTCTATTTGAACGCTGATTTAAATTTCGTTAACCAAAATACGCCTGTTGCTGTTGCGACCGAATCTTTAATGATGAAGTCAGTGTAAAAAGTGTTTTATCTGCGAATAAAGAATAATGCGTCCACGTGCGGCCGATCGGACTAGACCAAAAAATTGTCGGAGGTTGCTCCAATCTAGAAATGAACAGTTTATTACATTTTACTCGATAATTCCGTAATAATAAGCTACTACTTTTGGATACTTTAAGCCTGGACACCGTGTGTATTTCCTGCATCACATTTCTAAACTTTATGTAGCTGAACATAAACCAGGTTTAAATAACATTAACGTGGTCTACATAGATTTTGGATAAAATATATGCACAACAATTTTTATCTACTCGATTATAAAAAAAGTAAATAATATAGATCTATGACATTTGTACAGTAAAACCTGTTTTTGTGCGGAAGATAGACATCCCATAAAAAGAAACCGCACAAAAGAAATATTCGAAAATTCCATAAATAACTACATATAACAAACAACTTCGTCGCCATAATAAAGAAAAAAAAATATGTGGTTGAGAGGGACCGCATAAAAAAAGGCGCATTTGGAAAATACATCAATTATTTTTAAAATTTATGAAAAAATACTTCAAACAAAATAAATAATTAAGTTACTCAAAGAAACATAAAAAAGAATTTAATTTCTCATTGTATTCATGGAGAAGTATTCAAAATGCAAATACAAAATTCACTGCTACTCGCTGTAATCCAAATCGCGAATCTTTCTGTGATGAATTAGATTAAAATCGCTGTCGTCACTTTAAAAATTATGCCGGAGAAACTGGAATTGAGTGAAAAGATGGCACAGGACGCTCAATAACGTTTAGGAGTAATTTGATGACTTTGGCTTGATTCTTAGTATACATCAGAAAAACAAAAATATCAGACACTTTGTCACTAAAAAGAATAGAACGTGGAAGCAAAATCACAATATTAATCAAACTGATTTCAGACAGAACTCGATTGAATATATATCTTAGTGCAAAAAAGGTTAATTGGAGGCGCAGCGTATCAATCCCCGTACCTTTCGCATGATAAGCTAGAGCTATAACATTTGAGTTACGATCGAGGACACCACTTTGTTTATTATAAACAAGAACAACTTAACACTTACAAAAGATCGTACAGTAAATAGGACATTTAATATTTCCGCAAAAGAAACTAGAATTGAGTGAATAGGTGACAGAGAACGTTCGAAAGATTTTGAAAAAATTTGACGAATTTTGCTTGATTCTCTCTCTTAATATTTATCACAAATATCAGAAAATGCATCAACAAAAGGAATAGAAGTGTGGAAGCATAATCACAACATTAATCAAATTGATTTCAGACAGGAAATGATTGAATATATATTTAAGTGCAAAACACGTTAAAATTCGGGGCGAGGTATCGATACCCGTACCATTCGCACGCTAAGCGAGCACTTTACCAACTGAGCTACGCCCCCGGATACCACCTTGTTTATTGTAAACAAGCACGACTTAACAATCACATACGATCGTACAGTAAATAGGACAGTTAAAATTTCCGCGAAAGAAACTACAATTGAGTGAATAGGTCACAAGGAACGTTTGAAAGGTTTTGAAATAATTTGACGAATTTTGCTTGATTCTTAATATTTATCACAAATATCACACAATTGGTCACCAAGATGAATAGAAAAAGGAAGCATAATCACAACATTCATCAAATTGATTTCAGGCAGAAAGTGATTGAATATATATTTTAGTGCAAAAAACGTTAATATACTGAACGAGGCATTGATCCCCGAACCATTCGCATTCTAAGCGAGCACTCGACCATCTGAGCTACGGCCCCAGACACCACCTTGTCTATTGTAAACAAGTTCGACTTAACACACACAAGATCGTACAATATAAATAGGACAGTTAAAATTTACGCGGAAGAAACTAGAATTGAGTGAATAGGTCACAAAAACGTTTAAAAGATTTGAAATAATTTGATGAATTTGGTTTGATTCTTAATATTTATATCACAAATATCACACAATTGATCGCCAAGATGAATAGAAAGTGGAAGCATAAACACGACATTCATCAAATTGATTTCAGGCAGAAAGTGAATGAATATATATTTTATTCCAAAAACGTTAATTAGAGGCGTGGGGTATCGCTCCCCGTACCTCACACATGCTAAGCGAGCATTCTACCATCTCAGCTACGCCCCCGTACACCACCTTGTTTATTGTGTTAACAAGCAAAACTTAACACTCACACAAAATTGTACAGAGAAAATAGAACATTTATAATTTCCGCGGAAGAAACTAGAATATACTGAATAGGTCAAAGAGAACGTTTGAAATATTTTGAAATAATTTGTCGAATTTTACTTGATTCTTATTATTTATCACAAATATCAGACACTTGTGTGATCATCAAAATGAATAGAAAGTGTGTTGTGGAAGCATAATCAGAACATTCATTAAATCAATTACAGCTATAAAATTAATGAAGATATATTTTATTGCAAAAAACGTAAATGGAGGCGCGGGGTATCGATCCCCGTACCTCTCGCATGCTAAGCGAGCGCTCTACCATCTGAGCTACGCCCCCGTACACCACCTCGTTTATTGTAAACAAGCAGAACTTAACACTCACACAAGATCGTACATTAAATAGATTATTTAAAATTTCCGCGCAAGAAACTAGAATAAACTGAATAGGTCACAAGAACGTTTGAAAAATTTTGAAATAATTTGTCGAATTTTACTTGATTCTTATTATTTATCACAAATATCAGACACTTGTGTGATCATCAAAATGAATAGAAAGTGGAAGCATAATTAGAACATTCATTAAATCAATTACAGCAATAAAATTAATGAATATATTTTTTATTGCAAAAAACGTTAAATGGAGGCAGGGGGTATCGATCCCCGTACCTCTCGCATGCTAAGCGAGTGCTCTACCATCTGAGCTACGCCACCGTACACCACCCTGTTTATTGTAAACAAGCACTACTTAACTTTGACACGAGATCGTACAGTAAGTGTATAACATTTAAAATTTCCGCGGAAGAAACAAGAATAGACTCAAAAGGCACAGAGAACGTTTGAAAGAATTTGAAAGATTTTGCCGAATTTTACTTGATTCTTAATATTTATAACAAATATCATACATTTTTAATCACCAAAATGAATAGAAAGTGGTAGCATATAATCATAACATTCTTAAAATTGTATGTGATTACAGGCATAAAGTGAATAATATATATTTTATTGCAAAAAACGTTATTTGGAGGCGCGGGGTATCGATCCCCGTACCTCTGGCATGCTAAGCGAGAGCTCTACAATATGAGCTACGCCCCCGGACACGGTGTTGTTTATTATACACAGGCACAACTTAACACTCACACAAGATCGTGCAGTAAATATAACATTTAAAATTTCCGTGAAAGAGACTAGAATAGAAGCATAATCACAACATTCATCAAATTAATTACAGCCATAAAGTGATTGAATATATATTTTATTGCAAAAAACATTAAATGGAGGCGCGGGGTATCGATCCCCGTACCTCTCGCATGCTAAGCGAGCGCTCTACCATCTGAGCTACGCCCCCGTAAAACCACCTTGTCTATTGTAAACAAGCACAACTTAACACAGACACAAGATCGTACAGTAAGTATATCATTTAAAATTTCCGTGAAAGAAACTAGAATAGACTGAAAAAGCACAGAGAACGTTTGAAAGATTTTGAAATAATTTGACGAATTTTACTTGATTCTTTATATTTACGACAAATATCAGACACTTGGTCACCAAAATGAATAGAAAAAAAGTGGAAGAATAATCACAACATTCCTCAAATTGTGATTACAGGCATAAAGTGAATAATATATATTTTATTGCAAAAAACGTTAAATGGAAGCGCGGGGTATCGATCCCCGTACCTCTCGCATGCTAAGCGAACGCACTACAATCTGAGCCACGCCCCCGTTCACCACCTTGTTTATTGTAAACAAGCACAACTTAACACAGACAAAAGATCGTACAGTAAGTATAAAATTTAAAATTTACGCGAAAGAAACTAGAATAGACTGAATAGGCACAGAGAATGTTTGAAAGATTTTGAAATAATTTGCAGAATTTTACTTGAATCTTAATATTTATCACAAATATCATACACTAGTTCACCAAGATGAATTGAAAGTGGAAGCATAATCACAACATTTATCAAATTGGTTTCAGTAATAAATTTAATGAATATATATTTTATTGCAAAAAACGTTAAATTTAGGCGCGGTGTATCTATCCCCGTACCTCTCGTACGCTAAACCAGCGCCCTACCATCTAAACTACGCCCCCATACACCACCTTACTTATTGTAAACAAGCACAACTTAACACTCACACAAGATCGTACAGTAAGTATAACATTTAAAATTTCGGCGGAAGAAACTAGAATTCGCTGAATAGGCACAGAGAACGTTTGAAAGATTTTGAAATATTTTGCCGATTTTTTTTTTGATTCTTTATATTTATCACAAATATCAGACACTTGGTCACCAAGATAAATAGAAAGTGGAAGCATAATAAAAACATTTATCAAATTGGTTTCAGTAATAAAGCTAATGAATATATATTTTATTGCAAAAAACGTTAAACGAAGGCGCGGGGTATCGATCCCCGTACCTTTCGCATGCTAATCGAGCGCTCTACCATGTGAGCTACGCCCCCGTCTACCACCTTGTTTATTGTAAACAAGCACAACTTAACACTCACAATAGATCGTACAGTAAATATAAAACATTTAAAATTTCCGCGGAAGAAACTAGAATAGACTGAATAGGTCACAGAGAATAATTGAAAGATTTTGAAATAATTAAACGAATTTTACTCTTGATTCTTTATATTTAGAAAAAAATGACACTTGCACCAAAATGAATGAAAGGGAAGAATAACCAACATTCCTCAAATTGATTCAGGCAAAAGTGAATAATATATTTTTTATTGAAAAAAAGTTAAAGGAAAGGGGGGTATCGATTCCGCCCCAGCATGCCGCGAATTAAATCTGAGCAGCCCCCTTCCCCACCTTGTTTTTGTAAACAAGAAACTTAAACTACACAAACGTACAGTATAAAAAAAAACATTTAAAATTTCCCGGAAGAAACAGAATTGGCTGAATAATCACAAGAACGTTTAAAGATTTTGTATTTGGAATTTTTTTATTTTTTTATATTTTCGAAAAACCTTTCCCAAAAATAAATAGAAAGGGGAACGTTAAAACATTTATCAAATTGGTTTCAGTAATAAAGAAGAATATATTTTTTTGCAAAAATAAATGGGCGGGGGGTATGCCCCCACCTCGCTCCCGCGCGCTCCCATCTAAGCACCCCCCCGTCACCACCTTGTTTATTGTAAACAAGCACAATTTCCCCAGCAAAACCCTACAGTAAAAAAAAAAAACAAAAACCGGAAGGAACAGAATGACTAAAAAAGCACGAGAAGTTTGAAAGATTTTGAAATAATTTGCGAATTTTACTTGATTTTAATATTTATACAAATATCAACACTCGTCACCAAAATGAATGAAAGTGGAAGCATAATCAAAAATTTTTCCCCCTTGTTTGGGATAAATAATATTATATATTTTTTTTAAAAACGTTAAATAAAGCCGGGTATCATCCCCGTACCTTCGAGCTAACAGCGCCTCCATCTACTACCCCCCCAAACCACCTTCTTTTTGAAACAAGCACAACAACACTCACACAAGATCTACAGAAAATAAAACTTTTTAAAATTCCGCGGAAAAAACTAGATGGAATAGGCACAAAAGAACGTTTAAAAGATTTTGAAAAAATTTGCAAAATTTTTTGACTTTATTTATCACAAATATCAACACTGTTCCCAAATAATTTGAAAGTGGAAGCATAATAAACATTTATCAAATTGTTTCAGTAATAAAAATGAATATATATTTTATTGCAAAAAACGTTAAAAGGCGCGGGTATCATCCGTACCTTCGAGCTAACCAGCGCCCTACCATTAAACTACCCCCCCTCACCCCTTTTTATTGTAAACAAGACAACTTAACACTCACACAAAGATCGTAATAAATATAACTTTTAAAAATTTTGGGCGGAAGAAACTAAAATTTGGCTGAATAGGCACAGAAAAAATTTGAAAGATTTTGAAATTTTTTCCAAATTTTTTTCTTTTATATTTATCACAAATTTCAAATTGGCAAAAGATAAATAGAAAGTGGAAGCAAATAAAAAACATTTATCAAAATTGGGTTTCAGAAAAAAACTCACACAAGATCGTACAGTATATAAAATAACTTTTAAAAAATTTCCGGGGAAGAAACTAGAATTGGCTGAATAATCACAAGAACGTTTGAAGATTTTGAAATATTTTGCCAAATTTTTTTTTGATTCTTTATATTTTCAAAATATCAGACACTTGGTCACCAAGATAAATAAAAAAGTGGAAGGTAATAAAACATTTATCAAATTGGTTTCAGTAAAAGCTAATGAATATATATTTTATTGCAAAACATTAAATGGAGGCGCGGGGTATCGATCCCCTCCCTTTTTGATGCTACGAGCGCTCTACCATCTGAGCTACGCCCCGTACACCACCTTGTTTATGAAACAAGCACAACTTAACACAACACAAATCGTACAGTAATATAAAACTTTAAAATTTCCGCGGAAGAAACTAGAATAGACTGAAAGGCACAGAGAATTTGGGAAGATTTTTGAAATAATTACGAATTTTACTTGATTCTTTATATTTATGACAAATATCAGACACTTGGTCACCAAAATGAATAGAAAGTGGAAGCATAATCACAACATTCATCAAATAATTACAGCCATAAAGTGATTGAATATATGTTTTATTGCAAAAAACATTAAATGGAGGCGCGGGGTATCGATCCCCGTACCTCTCGTATGCTAAGCGAGCGCTCTACCATCTGAGCTACGCCCACGTACACCACCTCGTTTATTGTAAACAAGCACAACATAACACAGACACAAGATCGTACAGTAAGTATAACTTTTAAAATTTCCGCGAAAGAGACTAGAATAGACTGAAAAATCACAGAGAACGTTTGAAAGAGTTTTAAATAATTTGACGAATTTTACTTGATTCATTATATTTATGACAAATATCAGACACTTGGTCACCAAAATGAATAGGAGAAGTGGAAGCATAATCACAATATTCCTCAAATTGATTACAGGCATAAAGTGAATAATATATATTTCATTGCTAAAAACGTTAAATGGAAACGTACGGGGTATCGATCCCCGTACCTCTCGCATGCTAAAGGAGCGCACTACAATCTGAGCCACGCCCCCGTTCACCACTTTGTTTTTTGTAAACAAGCACAACTTAACACTCACACAAGATCGTACAGTATATAAATATAACATTTAAAATTTCCGCGGAAAAAACTAGAATTGGCTGCATAATCACAGAGAACGTTTGAAAGATTTTGAAATAATTTGCTGAATTTTTTTTTATTCTTTATATTTATCACAAATATCAGACACTTGGTCACCAAGATAAATAGAAAGTGGAAGCGTAATAAAAACATTTATCAAAATAGTTTCAGTAATAAAGCTAATAAATATATATTTAATTGCAAAAAACATTAAATGGAGGCGCGGGGTATCGGTCCCCGCACATCTCGCATGCTAAGCGAGCGCTCTACCATCTGAGCTACGCCCCCGTACACCACCTTGTTTATTGTAAACAAGCTAAAATTAACACAGACAAAAGATTGTACAGTAAGTATAACATTTAAAATTTCCGCGAAAGAGACTAGAATAGACTGAAAAAGCACGGAGAATGTTTGAAAATTTTGAAATAATTTGACGAATTTTACTTGATTCTTTATATTTATGACAAATATCAGACACTCTGTCACAAAAATGAATAGAAAGTTTAAGCATAATCACAACATTCCTCAAATTGTGATTACAGGCATAAAGTGAATAATATATATTTTATTGCTAAAAAGGTTAAATGGAAGGGCGGGGTATCAATCCCCGTAACTCTCGCATGCTACGCGAGCGCTCTACCATCTGAGCTACGCCCCCGGACACGGTCTTCTTTAATGTAAACAAGCACAACTTAACACTCACACAAGATCGTACAGTAAATAAAACATTTAAAATTACTGCGGAAGAAACTAGAATAGACTGAATAGGCACAGAGAACGTTTGAAAGATTTTGTAAATAATTTGCAGAATTTTACTTGAATCTTAATATTTATCACAAATACCATACACTAGTTCATCAAGATGAATTGAAAAAGTGGAAGCATAATCACAACATTTATCAAATTGGTTTCAG